TTTACCCACATATACTTCAAAATTTCTTTTAGTTTGTGTTTCACAAAAAAAGTGAATAGTAATATAAGTGTGATGACATATGTACAGGAAAGAGGTTATGAATGAAATTCAATCAGATCTACTTTTTTGAAGAACGTGATGTCACTATTTGTTTATGTGCTTTCTTTTTGGCTTTAGCTTTTTCTTTCAATTCGTTAAGAAGATTACTGTTTGTAATATCTTCGCCAAAACGACGTTCAAAACGAACACGAGATTTTTTCGGTGCTGTTGTAGTAGAAGCAGGTTGATCTTTTAAATAAGTTGCAATAATTGATCGAATGGCTGCTGATGGGTTAACTTTAGCCGTCGTCACTGTCGATGTACTAGTAGGAATTGAAAAATTTTGATTAGACGATGATTCGACATCATAATCTGGATCTAAAGTATTTGCATGAGAAAGATGATTAAAACATATTTATAAAGTTTTAACCTTGATCAGATGAATCAGGAAAAGTTGATTTATTTTTATTTGATGGTTGAATGTCGATGGATTCATCTGAATCGCTAGAACATAGAATGAGTCATAGGAGTGAGAAAGTTATTGATGCTAAGTCATTGCATACCTGTCGTCCAACGTTCGTTTAAGACGAGATGATGATGATGATGACGGTGAAGAACTACAGATGAAAATTGGGATATTTATAACAGCTATGAAATATGTTATAGTGAAAGAGTCATTTTGAGAACGTAGACTAGTATTTTAAACAGCCATTTGAATAGAAAATGAAAAAATCCGATAAGAAAGAAGTATTATTAGATACGTGATAGGGAAAGATGTCAAAGGTGAGTTTGCATAAATGTACGACCTTGAAAGATTGCTGGATACAGATACGTTTGATAATAATATAGTCATAGATAGAATACGATAAATTGAGTAAATTAGACTAAAAAAGACACTTTAGAATTAGAAATGTTCTTAAAAGTATTATGCATAACTAACGTGCGATTAGATAAAACGATTCCAAATCAATACCAAACTCATGATATACATACTCAGTTGTCAGAAAAATCGAAAAAATATATTCATACTCACTCATGATCAACTGAAACTGGAACAGATGTATTATTACTATTACCATCAACTACACGAGATGTTGTTATTTCACTTATTAATGATGATAAAATTTCTGTTGCTGATGAACCGAAAGTACATTAATTTTGAGAAAGAAAGAAAGAACACTATCACATCTTACCTAGATGTGGTGGAATTACTGTATGTTGATAAACGTCCACGAACGACCTTGCCTTACATGGCTTCTTCATTGAGTGGCCAAATACCGGCTCTTCTAAAGCCACCCAACACAGCACTTGTTGAGAACGATGTTGAAAGAAGTTCATTCAACAATTTAGGAAAATCTATTTTTCTGATTGTTTTACGTTGATTTTTTCGAAAATACGATGTAACAATATTTCTCCATTTGATTTTAGCAGGCCTATAAATGTATATATATTATTTCAAAAACTGTATAACTAGGGTCAGTGATTCCACGATTTATATTTTTTCCAGATTTTGTTATGCGTTATTTTTTAATATCCATACGTTTTTATAGATAGTTATACTATTTTAATCTTCCTCGATTTTCTACGCTTTTTAAATGTGTCTGTTTGTCATGCATTTTAGAAAAGTGAGTCTTTTCTTCTGATATTGAGCAACTGTCTATTTCCTGCTGCAAATATTTGGAATTATCACCTCGTTATGATTTTATTGATAGTCACTGACTTACTGGAACCTAACGAAAAATACAAGGTATATCAAAAACTAGGACCAGTATTTGAAAAACATATTTTCCAACTATTGAAAGTTTATTCACTACTGACCACACAATCAGTTTTTTTTTCTCTAGAAACTGGTGTAGGCCAGTTCACAGATATTCTCCTCCATATTAATAGAATCGGACCATTAACTTTGTTACACTATAGTATCAGAAACCTTCTGGTTAACTTACACTGATGTGCTTGACAATGAATGATATAGAAGAAAACTGCTAACCATAGTTTTCGAACTATAATTCCTGTAGAATTCTAGTTCTGATAAACTGTTATATCTATTTGATTTTTTTTCAGAGTGTCATGCTGTCGAAATCTGTGAAGGAACAGTTTGAGATAAGGAGTTGTTAATGTTTCCCTATAGGAGACGAATTAATTGATGCTTTCTAAAATTACTAATTCTCCCATTTAAATAATCTGAACCACTTCAGCCATGTGCCTGCAATTTCCTTGGACATATAGTTTCATCTGAAATGCAAATTAATTCAGGGTCAGATAGCAGTAATATATAGAATAAAATTACGGAAAGCTAGTGCTACATATCAGATAAATTTGAACAACAAAGAAAGTTACATTCGTACGGTGAACGTGATCATGGTCAATAAAAATGGGAGAATTAGTAATATTAGAAAGTGCGCATAAATACATCTCACCTAGAAAAACATTTCCAACTGTTTATCCTAAAAGAGTTCGTTCAGTGAATTTGAGCACAAGACGCTCTGAACAAGACAAGGAATAGATATAATAGTTCATAAGAACAGGAACTTTAGACAATCTGTTTGTGAAACACAAACTAAAAGAAATTTTGAAGTATATGTGGGTAAA